TATAATTCCACTAACATTTAGAAAGAATGTCTCTTCAAAAGCTACCTGTCAGTCTTGTGCGGTTGTTGAAACAAGATGTTGTCGAGTCATCCTGGTAAATGAATTCAGGTGCTCTCAACCTTGAAAAATGGACATACTCATTTGGGCTTTTTTGTGCTCTTGTGGTCGACACGTTCAATTAACTTGAATGCGGCCCAGCCTTGGGAGTCTATGAATGTGAACGCTAATGAATGGCTTGGATCTTTTCCTTTAGATTCCTGCCAATAAACATTCCATTAGCTTCATGTCCTTGAGACACGCATCGGAAAAAAAACGGCATTGTTCCGTTCGCCATCTCAGTCATCTCTTCAATGAAAGAGAAAACGGAAAGAAAGCAAAAGCTGCTCTTAATTCAGACTGTAAAGGATCAGCCACGATTCATCAGGGTCAAGAGAGGAAACGGCTTTTGAAAACAAAATATGAATTCTGTGGCTGTGGATCGGGCTTATCTAATTTAGGAAAAGTATTCTCATACCAGCTTTAATAAAAGAGTCTGATGTTTGGGATTCAACCTGAGATTACAAAGCCAAACATTAAACCAGCGAAAGAAAGAAAGAATAGTTGATAACGAAACGATTAAACATCTAACACAAACTCAATATTAAAAGATCAGCTGGAATGTTTCTGTTTTAGATGAGACACAGGCCACGCCTCCTTAATGAAAGCTCAGGGATTCATAATGATTAGGTTGGAGTGACTAACCTCCCACTGATGTTATATTTTACGCGTTTTGAAATCGTTATATGCGAATACACTGTAAAATCAGTGGTGTAGCACCAGCGCTAAAGAGAAATGAAGTTCAAGCTGGCTGGGCTGACCTTTGCGGATGCCGGCGTAGCTGCTGCTGAGGCCGTTCCTCTTCTTACGGTGGCGGTACAGCCAGATGCTGAAGACCATGAGGATGATCCAGCAGGCCGCGCCGATGCCCGCGATGAAGGCCGGCTGACGCACCACGTCTGAGATCTGCTGGGAAATCGTATTGTCATCGTCCAGCGGCGGCGGAAGAACACGGCCTGACGAGTCTGAGAGAAAGACACGAGAAATGAGAAAAAAATTATTTGATATAGACCATAACACTGATGCAATAATGAAAGAAATATTTTAGGTACAATAAACCTGCGGAATGCTGTCAGTTTCAGAAGAAACGATTTGCACATAATCCAATTGGGTTATGAAAAAAAAAAATTTAATTGACCGTTAAAAATCAATAACTATAATAGTAAAGCCAGTTAATATAACAGACAACTAAAAGATAATTGCAAAACAAAAATAATAAATATTTTTTATATAATTGTATTTAATAAAATAAGATAATAACTAAATTAATAAATGTATAAATAAAAATAATATAGTATATAAATATTTTTTGCATGTCACAGAACTTGTTTAATGCAGAACATTCCTTTACATTTGTAAAAGCTTATACAGAAAATATTTATAGTTAATAATAATAGTAGTAGTAATAACAACAGCAATAATAATTATTTACACTACCGTTCAAAAGTTTGGGATCAGTAAGACTTTTAAAGAAGTCCCTTGCAAAATGTTATTACAATATAAAATAATGGTTTCTATTTTAATATCCTTTAAAATATAATTTATTTCTG